GCTTACCTTGCAGCAGGAGCAGAGGCAGGAGGGTGAGCAGCACCCTGAGGACGGTCATGCTGTGCTGAGCTGGGCTTGGCTTCCTCCCTCTGCGGGGCTGCTGCCACCACAGGTCCCTTTTCAGCACGGGGGGAGCACATTTACCGTGACTTCATCACCCCGGGGTCTCTCCTCTGTCCCCACCTCGTGTTTCCTCTGTGTTGGTGTGTGCTGAGAAATCAGTGACCTCACGGGTCCCTCCGAAGGAACTGGTGGGTGACAGCACCGGGGGACTTGGGATTTCACCACGCCAGCCCTGCCAGGCTCAGCTCAGGGAGGGATGCACGGAGGGGGAGAAGGTAAAAAATTAGAGAAATATGGGTTTGGGGTCACCCTGATGCTGTGATGGTAAAAAAAAATAGGGAAATACGAGTTTGGAGTCACCCTGATGCTGTGATGGTAGAGAAATATGGGTTTGGGATCACCTTGCTGCTGTAATCGTAAAAGATTAGAGAAATAATGATTTGGGGTCACCCTGCTCTGTGATGGTAAAAGATTAGAGAAATATGGGTTTGGGATCACCCTGATGCTGTGATGGGAAGAGATGAGAGAAATAATGATTTGGGGTCACCCTGATGCTGTGATGGTAAAATATTAGAGAAATATGGGTTTGGGATCACCCTGCTCTGTGATGGGAAGGGATTACAGAATATGGGTTTGGGGTCACCCTGCTGTTATGATGATTAGAGAAATAATGATTTGGGGTCACCCTGCTGCTGTGGTGCCACAGGATTTCATTCCCCAAGATGAGGAGGTGCCCAGGGTGGCAGCACTTAGGTGGTGGATGTGCCTGAAAACCCATTTGACATCTCTCCATTACAGCAAAGTCACTCTGTGCTGTTGGCCCGGGAGGTTTTTGGCTGGCTCTGCCTGCAGGGATGCTGCAGAAAATGGGAAAAGGGAATTTCTGCCTGGCCTTTGTGGCTCTGCAGGGAGGAGGGATGGGGACATGAGCAGGGGACACGATTTGGGTTTCCCCTGTCCCCTTGCAGGTCTGATTATTGCAGGTTTGTGTCACCCCAGGTGTGTGATAAGCACTGACATCACATTTATCCATCTTAGGATTTGTGATTTCCAAAAAAGAAATTCTGGCAGATCCTCTTCTGACCCTCCTTTGCAACTGCTCAGAATTTGGTGTGGACAGTTTTACTGTCAAAATAAACTGAATTTGATGAGATAATTATGGTTTAAAACCTGTGGGTGCTTGAGGGGACAAAATGGTTAATTATACACATTGTGTGCTTTATTCCTGATTTATTAGGACCTGTTTCCATGAAACTTTCAGATGTAGGGAAATGCATCACTCAGTGGATATTTGGTTGATAAAAGCTGTGGCTTTTGTGTTCATCATTATTAAACAATTTTACTGGAAAACAGAGCTGCAGGTCATGAATTTAAAGCAGCTGGGTTGAAAGATAAAACTCTGGTTGGATTCAAAAATCCAGATTAAGAAAGATGTGTTGGAAAAGTAAGTTTGGTTTGAAAGTTGTGCCTTCAATTCCCCACATCCAAACCTGAGAGTGAAATAACTCCGGGGAAAAACTGAATCCAGAGGGAAAATCCCATCCCCGAGCATGGAAAACCAGAGCTGAGAGAATTTTGTGCCATCTGCTGTCAAGTGAATGAATTTCAGCCTCAGGAAAAGAAAAAATGCAGCTCAAAATTCCTGCACACTCCAGAGGAAATCTGAAATAGGAAGGGTGCTTGGCATCTTTATTAAATCACCTATGAGATCTTTTTGTCTGACTTCTGAGAATTCCATTTAATGTGAGAAGCAAATTAAAATGCAGTGGTTGTTTTAACAGTTGTTAGCACTCAAAACTGAGATTAAAAACAACCACCCACCCCCCTGCCTGCCCCACCCCCAAAATAAAAAAATACAGATGTCACAGGTAATTACAGCTATTTTTGGCAATACAATTATTGGGTTTTTTTAAACAGCAAACATTTTTTTTTTCCTCAAATAAATACAATCTGCTCACACGAAATAAAAAAACCAAAAACCGTAATAAACAGAATGATACAACAGGTTGAAAATGAAATAAAACAAACAAACAAAAAAAGGAGCTGTTGATAACATCAAGTCTGAAGAGATGTCGTGGAGAGAAAAGTTCAGAAAATGCATTTTAATGGGAAAGAATAAAGGAACTGGCTGAGGATTTTCTGTTATGGGTTTGAAGATTCCCTGGGGAAGGAATTTGAGGGAGTGGGGAGCAGCAAGAAGTGATTCAGAGCCTTTGCCAATCGCAGCCACTGTTAATTACATTTATTTTGTTCATTGATCCCCATCCCAAGCACGTCTGCTCCCCCCTCACTCCCATTTGTGATTTCAAAATCATTTCCTCTGGGTCTCTTTTTACAGAAACGAACCCAAACCACAAACCAGAGCCATTATTTGGGGATAAAAATTACCACTCTCATTAAATTAACCAGAATTTGATCACAGCAGGAGGCTCCTGGCCTCAGCCAACTTCTGTCTGAAACTGCTCAGTCGGACTGAAAAGGGAAATACCAATTTTTTTTCTGAAATTATCACGGTCTGGATCCTCATTTTGCATAAAAAAAGCAAAGCTCTGTTGATTCGAGTGTAATGTCAATTTAATGATTGTCTTTTTCTAAGCAAATTATGAAAATTAACCATTTATTCTTGGCAGGTTTGCAGCTTTTTTTCCTTAATTGTGGAAAGAAGGAAAAAATCTGTCAGAATAAAACTTGGGATTCGATGCAGCTCACAGTGGAGGAAAAGATTTTGGAGAGATCAAGTTGAATGTTCAGGGACAAAACACTGGAGTGACATTAAATCCACATTAATGAGCAGCAGTGGGGTGAAAGTGAAGCAGCAATTCTTTTGCCTTCTTTACCTCTCGATTATAAATTTAAAAGGAACAACTTTTTTTTTTTTTTTTCACTTTTTTCCTTCCCAAAAGACAGCTTAACACAAAACCCCCCAGGGAAAACTCAAAATGCTGAAGAAAATAAATTTTTTCTCCCTGTGATTCTTGACACACCTAATTCGAGACAAGACGACAATTGTCAAAATATTTCCCAAACATCCAAAAATATATATATATATATTTAAAGAAGAGTATTTAAACATCTACCTCCTCAAGCAGAACACTTCTTTTCTCTATTACTGTATCAAAGAGCAGCTACCACCACTCCAATTGTGCATTCAGCTTTTGCTCCCTCTCTGTTTAAAAGAAACTCCTTTTAATTCACTCAACTCCAGCAGGATCTGAGCAGCCTCCACTCTTCCTACAGGCAATAAATATTAAAATATAACAATATTTCTTGCCCCAATTTGTACCTTGCTGGCATGAAACAAAAAAAAATCTGGAGAATTCACACGCCTCAGCAACCGATTTTTTTTTTTTTTTGTATGATTGTCAAATATTTAATTTTAAATTTTTTTTGCATGGAGGAAAACAAGCCAGAAATTCTCTTCAGAATGTCTGTACACAGCCAAAAATAGTTTAAATGACAATTCAAAATTAACCTGACAGCGACAAAACCACACATGGGCAGGTTGGGGTTTTTTTTTTTTTCCTGCCCTGTCCTAAATTTTCTCCCTGACTTTTCAGTTCCATCTCTGCTATAATAAAGCACTTATGAGTGGCCTAAGGTGTGTTAGACAGTCCTAAAGGTAGAAATAAGGGAATATTCCTGTGGGATATTGGCCAGGATGGGCTCTGCTCTGCTCCAAACTCACCTCAGCCCCTCGGGGTTTGTTCCAGCCCAATTGTTTCACCTCTTTTGGGGAAGAGGGAATTGCAGTTTGTCACTCCTTGCTTCTTGTGGCAGCTTGGGGGAGGTGACAGCAGCTCTGCCCAAAGGGAAAATCCACCAGAACAGCAGCCAAAAGTTGATTTTTCTATGATGAATCAACACCAAATGTGGCCAGTGTTGACTCCTCTCACCCCTTTCCAAGGAGGGCATCGAGCTTTGAGCAGAGGCAGAGCTGGGCAAGGATGGCACAAAGTCTCTCCTGCCACACCCCAGCCTGCCCTGGCTGCTGCTTTCTGCTTTTTGTGTTTTATGTTTTCCATCTGCAGCTGAGGCTGCCCCATCCCTGCAAGTGTCCAAGGCCAGCCTGGTCTGTCCCTGCTCCTGGAGCTGCAGGAGCTTTAAGGTCTTTTCCAACCCAAACCGTTCTGGGATGATTCTGTTTCTGGGAATACTCAGACTTGTGTCCCAAACCAAAAAAGAGTGTGCCTAAATCTCTTTCATCCCATTTAAACTCATTTTTAATACCTGCTGACAGCAAGCCTGCACTGCTGAAGTGCCTGCAGCAACTTTTTGACCCAAGGCTGATAATTTTGAATAATTCTGATCCTAAAACCCCCTGCTGTGATGCCACTTTATGCTATAAATCCCCACTGTGGAGCATTTTGGGATGCTTTTAGCATCCTGCAGGCTCTGGCACCAAGAGGATCCCCCTTGTGAACCCAAAGATCTCTAATTTAGAGATGGAAACTCTCTTTTTCCAATTCTCCCCAACCCTTCCCTCCCTGGACAAATAGCATCAAATGCTGTTCCTAAATTGAAGTGTGCTGGGGATTTTTGGCTGCTTTGTCTTTATGACAGATGGCACTTGGGAATGAAGGGGAAGGAAGCAAAGCACTCAGAATTCCAGCTGAATTCCAGCAGCTTTTTCATCCCATCACTCCTGGAGCAACCTGCTGGCTGCACAATCTCACCAGGACTGCCAAAGGGACACAAAGTCACTGCTGGGTGTATGGCCAGCACAAAAAATCCCAGTACAAAAGGGAAAACCCCTTTTCCAAACCTTCTGAAGGGAATTTCAACAGCACAAACCTTTGAGGCTGTGTCTGGTGTCTTCTTCCCCCCCCGCCCTTTCACTCCTGGAACCAGTCTTAAAGTTGCAGAATTTAATATTCAACACCAACAGAACAGACGATTTGGGGATATAGGCATCATACAGTCACCCCAAGACATCTGGGAACACAGGTGGATTTCAATAACCAAAATAAAGGACTAAAATCCCAAATCTGAACTTTCTAAATCCCTCAGGTTTGGTTGGAAAAGGCTTCTTTTATCTCCACTTCAAAGAAATTCATCCCACCTTTTGTTGCACTGACTTTTCATGCTCAAACTTCACCTGTAACTGATGTGAAACTCTGAATTTTCCTCAACATCAACCAATCTCTGCACAATATCCAACACATTTTGGGCACTCCCATCTCTGTCTGCTCAGGCAGAGGAGAGGATTGACCTGGTTCATCCTGCAGAGGCAATGCTGGACTCATTTCCAGCCTGGAAATTTGATTTTTATGGAAGGTGCTGAGGGTTTGGGGGCTGGGAGTGGAGCAAGCACGAGGTGCTGAACAAGCCTGCAGATGCTTTGCAAAAATAGCAGTGAGAAAACAACCCCAGCATCCTGCCTGACACAGGGCTCATTGTTCCTACCCTGCTGCAGGTGGCAGTGAAAGTGTCACCAGAGCTCCCTTCAAGGTGGGGAAACCAACCCTGAGCTGACTCTGTGCTGTGAAAGAGCCTCAAGCTGCATTTTTATTTTTTTTTTTCCCCTTTTCAAATCAAACCCCTTTTGCTGTAAATGAGACTTTTGGCCTGGCTGTGGCTGTGTGAGATATGCTTTGAGTGACCCACTGGACACGTGGTGAGGGATTTTTTCCTGCTGTCAATAAAACACAAAGAAGAAGAAACATTCTCCAACGCTGGGAAAGGCCATGGGTTGTCCTTGCTGGGCTTTTCCCTATTCCTGCAGGAGGGTTTCTCTCCAGTTAAAGCCTCCAGTTGGTCCATGTGTGAGAGGGAGGATGGGAGGGTCTGTGAGCTGCCAAACACCAGTGTCCCCCAGTTCTTCACAGGAGCAAAAGCCCAGGTAGGGAATCTGTGAGGAGAGAGATGGAATTAAGGCAAAAAGCAAGGACTGGGCTGGGCAATCCCAAGGGATGAAGCCCTGCTGTGCTACTCCAGAATTTCACCCTTTTTTCTCTCTTTCCCCCTCCCAAAGTCCATTCTCAGATGGTGATTGACAGACTGTGCACCACTGCCTGTGCAAAACCAGATTATACCCTCGGGATGTGGGCTAAAAATGTGGTTTTGAATGGAATGTAGTTTTAAATGGAATGTAGGTTTAAATAGGGACCAGCTCAAACCCAGTGTGGTCCCAAACCAGCACAGCTCTGGGGGAAATAGGGATGTTCCTGCAGCTCAGGGGTTCCCAGGTAAACCCTGAATATCCCAGGGAGCCTCTGCAAGGCTGGCAGAGGGCAGGGAAGGAGAGGAAGTTAAAAAACCCATTTTAATTTCCAGCCTTTTGGTGGTTAACATCTCTTTAGGTGAGAAGGGGAAGTGCTGTAGGGTTGAAGTGCCCTTCTTACTGTGCTGGAGGGATTTGGGGCTCCCTGCACAGCCCCTGGTACCCACAAAGCACCAAACAATCCCTGCAAACCCATCTCAGGTGGACACCTGACCCCATAAAGCACCAAATAATCCCTGCAACCCCATCTGAAGTAGACACCTGACCCCACAAAGCACAAAAAAATCCCTACAAACCCATCTCAGGTGGACACCTGACCCCACACCCTGTCCCAGCCTCTCAAACCCTTCTCCTTCACCCTCCTGACTCCTGAAATGAGTGAAACTCAGAGCAGAGCCTGCCCCAGCACGTTGTAAATTGATTTTTCTCTTTGCAGAGCCAGGGCTCTGCTCCTTGCTGCCATTTACCTTTCGGACCATCTGCACAAAATCCTTGGAGTTCTGAGGTGACAGCCCTTGGAGCTGGCAGGTACAGGCCTCCAGGGAGGATGCATGAGCCACGATCAGGATGTTATTTCCTGCAATAAAATGACAAACACAGGCTGAGGAGGGAGGTAAAGCCACATTTAGGGGTTGGTGCCCAAGATCAGGCAGCCATGTAAAACATTTAATGGTATAACAACACATCAAACTGTGAATGGAGGGGAAAATGTGATTTGTTAACACGTTTAGAGCATTTCTCAATTTCAGGGTAATGGTTTAAAAATGCTTTCTGGAGAAAACAAGAATTCCAGTGAGATTTCAGCTGTGTTGGGAAGCAGATGCTTTTTGCCTACGCAAAAATTAATTCCTATTACAACAAACACTTTAATTTCACTTGCTGGCTTTCCACAGTGGCAGCTTTACATTTCCATTTCCGAGATCTTTTTACAAGCAATGCCCCACTGTGCTTTTGAATTTTGTGTGCAAACCATTAAAATCAAAGCTTAGAATGCAGAGGCAGGTCAGTGAGATAAAATCAGTGACAACACCAGAATTTAGGAATTCTCAGAACGTTGTGGATGAACAATAACAGCTAGGGATTTTTTTTTAAAAAATCAATATTGTGTTTGGAGAAATGTTCTAAGGTCTTTATGGGAATATAATTTGGAGAAGGAACTCGGAGAGGGGAGGGAAAATGCCCCATTTAATGCTGGGAATACACAGCAGAGGGCAAATAATTCATTTATTCCCATGGGAAACAGCTGCCATTGGGTCAGAATCCCTAAAATAATTCTGCTATTTAACTTTATGGCCCTCTCTTATAAGGTGAGTGTATCTGAAATGATAGTTCTGGTGCAGGACTTTGCAGTGCTTCTGGGAGAGAGATACAAGTGTGGGAATTCATCCCCTAAGAGAGAAAGATTGCTCAGGAATGCTGGAATTCAATACTGGAATTTTCAGCCCCTCTGCAGCACTCACCTTTGCCTTTACATTCACTGATGATTTCCTTTGTTACTTGGTAGCTTCTGCTTATGTAGGTATCATAGGACTCTGAAACCACCAACTTGCTGACAGGAATATGAGGTCTGTGAGGAGAAAAACACATCCAGTAAATTGTAAAAATAAAGAATTCCAAGTGCAAGCTCTGTGAGGAGAAAAACACATCCAGTAAATGGCAAAAGCAAAAAAAAAAAAATTCAAAGTGCAAATCGTGATTCATCTGGAAGTATGTGTTCTTAAACTGATCCTAAAAATCCAGAACTGGGGGGGGACTGTGGTGATCTCTAAACTTCAAGAGTGATTTGTTGACCATTCCTGCATGGAGATATTTGGGGAAATGTGAAGAGCTTCCTCTGCTGGGGACCAGCCCATGGAGGCAGCCTCTGACACTCCGAGTGTGCTCCTGTTCCTTCTGCACTGGAGATGCTGCTCTGGGCTGAGCTGGGCTGGTTTGGGGGAAAAATTCCCTCCTAGGAGGGTGGGCAGGGCTGGCACAGGGTGCCCAGAGAAGCTGTGGCTGCCCCTGGATCCCTGGAAGTGTCCCAGGCCAGGCTGGATGGGGCTTGGAACACCCTGGGACAGGGGAAGGTGTCCCTGCCCATGGCAGGGGCTGGAATGGGATGAGCTTTAAGGTCCCTTCCAACCCAAACCCTTTGAGGACTCTCTGAACACCTGAGAGACACGAGGATGTCTAAAATCACCTAAATCTGTGATTTAAATCCTGTCTAAATCTGTGTTTAAGCCTTGGGTCCGTGAGTTCAGAGCTCAGGGTAAATCCTTTCAGCTCCTGTCCCTCTGCTCTCCATGAGCATCAATGAACACCTGATGATTTTAGCTCTTGGCACATCCCAGGAAAGCTGCTGAGATGGTGCAGGGGAGATGAAATTCCAATTTAGCTGCCTGTCAGGAAAATCCCCTGTTAGGGACTTTTGCATCTGAGGGGAACTGGGGACTTTCCTGAGCACAGGAAAGCTTCCAGGCTGGACAGGGCTCTTGGAGCAGCCGGGGACAGTGGGAGGTGTCCCATGGAGCTGCATGAGATCCCTTCCATCCTGTTTGATGATTTTCTGATTCTCTGTGTCCTTTGGTAAAGGATTTCAGGGCTCTCCCACCCAAATCAAGTCAGGGAGAGGCAGAGAACCTGTCCAGCAGGAGAACCTGTCCCAGCAGGAGGGGACAGGGGGACACCAGGTGTGTCACCAGGTGTGGAGCAGCAGCTGCCCCAGCCCTGACACCCCTCAGGGGCTGGGCCAGAGGTCAAAGTGCTGCTCTGGCCTCTGCAAAGCTGGGCAGTGCCTGCATGATCCATCCTCTTCCCAGCCAGGGCTTTCCTGGGATTTCCCTGGCCACTTATCAGCTGCAGGGCTTGATGTGCACACGGCCTGGCAGCAGAAGCTGCATTTTCCTGCTGGAGTGCAAAGAAAAAATGTGATTTTCCCTCCACCCAGTGATGTGATCCACAGGAATTCTCCCTGGGAGAGGGGGCAGAGCTCTCTCTCCCTGCCCCACCTGAGCTGACCACACAAGAGCTGCTCTTCCCTCACAGAATATTCCCATGTTAACCCATAGAATATTCCCATAGAAACCCATAAAATATTCCCTATGGGTTTCCCCATAGAAGACGGGGATTTTTGGAGGCAGAGACTCTCCTGACTCACTCTGCTCAGTGTCAGCCACGTGATGCCCTTCCAGGGATAAATACAGTGTGAGGAATTTTATTTAAATATCCTGGAAGTGCTGGAATTTTAACTGCAGGCTGCAATGACACAGCACAAGTAGCTCCTGATGGAAGTGGTTTATGGTATAATTAGCTATGAAAAAAATCAGTTTGTTTTTTTTTTTCCCTTTATATATATTTTTTTTTAAACTTTTAGTGGTTCAATTGCTTATTCCACCAGAGGGTTCTTAAACATACACGGGAAACACCAGGATTTCATAAAGCTCAGAAGCTCTGACACAAAATATTTGTCACCAAGCCCTTGTAAGTGGCACTCCTGTGTGTATTAGCTGAGTCCAAACTCCTAAGTTTTAGGAAAAGTGTTAAAAACCCTAGGAAATCTGAAAGATCCCAGAACAAGAAGTGCAGGAAATAAAACCTGCATGATCAGGAGGAATTGCCAGTGACGTGGGAAGTTTGGTTTATAATAAACCAAATTTAATTTTATACATATATTTTATATATAATTTTCAGGTCACGTTCAGCACGGCAGCCTCGAGCTGCTCCCAGTTTATTTTGAGATCCTCAGCACCTCTCCCAGTCAGTGCCTAAACCTCCAAACTCAGCAGAGTTTGATGCTAAATCTTCAAATAATCAAGGCCAGGCTGTCTCAGCCCTGCTGAGTGTTACCTGTAGGTTGTATCGACGCTTAGAGTGGCTGCAGCTAAATCCACAGGGGGGATCCAGGCTGGCAGGCTGCTCCCAGACACCCACTTGGTCCACTCAAACAAGCCTGGCTCTACCCGGATCTTCAGGTTGTTCTCCTGCTGCATACCTGGCAAAAAGAGGGAGAAGAGATCAGGTAAGAAGAGAGCAGCTTTAATACTTTGGATTGTTAATTTCTTTACTTTCGATGGGAAATTAAGTGTTTCATGCAATTATTTAATGTATGCCAGGGAGTGTCAAGCTCTGGCTGGCAGCTGGTGCAATTAGAGAAGGGTTCCTTATGGATTGTGCTAATATAAAATATGTTCCTATGGAAATAATAATTACCATGCACTCAGGTCCACGCATTTTATCTGCTTGTCAGTGTTTTATGGAGAAAATGAGGAGAATTCAGCCTCTCCCTTGTGGGTTCTCACCTTTCAGGATGTTGTGAGCTGTCTGGACACAGCGCAGGGATGGGGAGCTGTAGATGTAGTCTACAATGGTGTTTGTTTCTAGCAAGGCTTCACCTGCAAGAAAAGTTTTGTTCTTTGTGAATAAATCCTGGTAAATGGCATTGAAAGGAGCTCTTCTCATGGGTCTGGCTAAAAAGCAGCCAGGAAAACTGTCGAGGTCTTGGATTTAATTTCACTTCATTTGTAAGCTGTAAATCAAATGATTCGACACAACTCAAACCCAACTTAATTCAATTGGCTGGATTCTCTGCTAGCATAAATCACCATTTCATTACACAGGTGGGAGATCACTGCAAACGAGATCAGAATCAACTCCACTGTCAGGGTTTTTAATATTCCTGCATCAGGGTTTTCAATATTCCTGCATCAGGGTTTTTGATATTCCTGCATCAGGGTTTTTGATATTCCTGCATCAGGGTTTTCAATATTCCTGCATCAGGGTTTTCAATATTCCTGCATCAGGGTTTTCAATATTCCTGCATCAGGGTTTTTGATATTCCTGCATCAGGGTTTTTGATATTCCTGCAGTGCCTGAGGGAACCAAAGGAGAGCAGGGATCTGCTCAGGCTTGCAGGGAGCAGCAGCCACATTTTCCTTCTGTTGGAAGAGCAGGACAAAGGAGTGGCAGCCAGGAGGGGACAGTCACCCTGACAGTGGCTGTCACCAGAAATGTCCTGGGGTCATTTAGGAGAGGGACATCTGGCAGCCCTCTGTCACAGGGAGCTGCCCACGGGCTTTGCTCATCACAGGAATGATGTGAAGGTCACAATGGTGCCACCACAGCTGCAGCTGTGTCCTTGGACCCTTGAATGCCACAGCAAAGAGTGTCCTCAGACCCCTCAAATGCCACCAGCAAAGTGTGTCCTTGGACCACTTTAATGCCACCAGAAAGTTTGTTCTTGGAACCTTTCAATGCCACAAAAAGTGTATCCCTGGACCCCTTTATTGCCACCAGCAAAGCGTGTCTTCAAAGTCTTTTAATGTCACCAGCAAAGTGTCCTTGGACCCCTTTAAAGCCACAAATTGTGTGTCCTTGGACCCATTTACTGCCACCAGCAAAGGGTGTCCCCAAACCCTTTTAATGCCACAAATTAGAGCTCTTTACTGCCATTAGCAAAGTGTGTCCTTGTCCCCTGAATGCCACAGCAAAATGTCCTTGGACCCCTTCAGTGCCACCCAAAGTGTGTCCTTGTCCCCTGGATGCCACAGCAAAGTGTGCTGTGCCACTCACAGCCTCCCTTCTGTCCTGTGCAGATTGCAAACCCTGCTGCCATGTGGCCAATGGCTGAGCATCCTCCTGCTGCTGCTGCACCGTGATTTATTTGTGTTCAAAGAAGCCAGGATAATTTTAGCTGCCCTAGTTTGGATGTGGCCAGCAAGGAGAGCTCGGGAGGATCTGGTTCAGAGGAAATGCTCAGGGCTGAGCTGGTGTGTTTGAGGGGCTGGGACCCCTCACCAGAGCCCTCAGGGTGAGCTCTTTCACTGCCAAAGGATTTTCTCACAAAGTCCTCAGAAGTCAGGGGTGAGGATGGGGAGGGTGGGAGAACCCTGGAAGTGATTTGGGCTGTGTTTGTGACAATGTAAAGGCAGGCAGACTGATAAAAACTGCACAAAAAAAGCGCACATTTTACATGAGGTGACAGCCACACTGCTGCATTTCTCCCCAGTGTGGATAATAACAAAATCTTCCCAGTGCACCCATCCTTTGATGGCTCTGGTTTCACCCATTGTCCCACATTTCTGCTCTGCCTTTTCCTCAGCTGCAGCAGCAGAAGGAAATGAGGTTTCCTTTGCAAGAGGGAAATTGCTGGGGAAGGTGAAGGGACTTTGCAAAGTTCCTTGAAAAGATTTTAATCCTGTTAGCTCAGGACACCCAATCCATTTTTTCCTGCTTTGCACTTTTCCTTTCTCTGATGGGAAGGCAGTGAAGCTTCCTGGGCAAGGTCTTCATGGAATCATGGAATGGTTTGGGTTGGAAAAAAACCAAAAACCCCGTGGGCAGGGACACCTTCCACTACCCCAGGCTGCTCCAAACCTTCCATGGATGGACAATGTGTGCCAGGGCCTCCCCATGAAACGTGGAAAAGACTTTATAACTTGTGAGAAATGAGAGTTATAAACCAGGTATGTATTTATTTAGTGTTGAGGTGTATGGGGAGAATTTCTTTTCAAGTATGAAACTTAAAATTATTGTTGTATTTATTTTTTAAAAGCTTAGGATTACACAATATGCTCAATACATGTTTATATCTTGGCTTTGCTTCGTTTTGCTTTGTATGAAAATGAACTGAAAGTTTTTTTGTCCTTGTGCCTTTTTAATTTAGGGGTCATTTTGGGTTTTTGATGAAGGCTTTTAAACTTTTTATTGCACTTGAACTTTTTAACTTTGTCTTTGGAGTGTGCATTTTAGCTTTTTGGGCTCATTCCAGACCTTGAGATTACTTTTTGTTGGTTTAGTGTTTGGGGTTTATTATTTATTACTGGTAGCCTTGCACCCCTTATTTTGTTTGCAAGTTTCGGTTTTATTTATTATAAGTTAGTTTGTTTCTCCGATTTTTTACAAGTATAATAAATGTTAGGGATTTTTTTTGTTGGTTTGGTTTTGATGAATTATTTTTTAATTTTGTCTCACCCACAATCACAGGGAACAATTACTTCCCCAAATCCCCCCTTCTCCAGCAAGAAGCTTTGCTGAGCAGCACTTACCCACGAGCCTGGCCTGGGTGCAGCCCAGCACGGTGATGGGAGCATCCTTTTCATAATCCCTGAAACCACCACTCCTCTGAGGTAAGTTGTGAGGCATATTCAGGTTACTGCGCATGTACCTGCCTGCAGGGAGAGGTGCCAAGCTCCAATTATTCCCTTACACACGGGCAGCAACATCTCACCTGATTTTCCCCTCTCCCACCACCTCAGCTGTGCTTTGCAATCCTGGCTCTTAAGCAGTTGTTTTTTGTTTTTCCCCATGTAAACCCATCAGGAATCTCACAAAATTAAATTAAACGCCTCAAAATCAGCACAGAATGTTGCTAAGGTTCTAAAACTGATTTCCCCAAGGGAAAGTCGTTTCCATCCACAGCAAACATTACACTCTTACAGGAGGCAGAACATCAGAGCTCTTCAGTCACAGTTTAGAAAGAAGGGAGTTGTGAAATCATCCTTTCACCACAAGGTGTTTTTGAATAGAAGAAAGGCTTTTAGGACACATTTCTGATCAGCTCCAAGGCCAACAGAGCCTAAAGTTATAATTTGTTTATTATAGTCTGAAACCTGTGCACAATACTGGGTTGAAAACACCAATGTATGCCCCAAAACCCCACTCTGAGCAGTGTTATTTTCATTTAGGACTGAGAGCCAGCAATACAAAATTTTTTCTTGATGGCAGCAAATGTTTTCACTGAACACTGGCTACCAACATCGTGACTGCACTTTCTCTTTGGTGATGGAACTGAAAAGCAAATCACTCCTGCAATATTTTCCCAAATATTGGCAAATGGAGTATTTCCTCTCTGGATGACTTTCTGCTGCTGGCTGCACAAAAAGCATCATTTTATTATTTATAATTTTAAGTTAAAACCTACAGCTTCCACCAGGCTGTGGCCACTTCTTCTTCCATCAAATCCTGGGGCACCCCATATAACAATAACTGAATAACAATGGGCATAACACATCAAAGTTCCAGCAGCAAAGGCTCCACTTTAATGTTTCATCCTATTTTTTATCCAGTTACTGTGTTTTATTCTAAATGGTTATTCATTTCCTTGCTACTCAATCCATTGGTCAGACTGTGTGTGTACATGCTAAGTCTCTCTTTACACAGGTGTTTACATTTTTTTTTTTGTGGATTCTCACAGGAGAGAATTCTTCTTTCTCACAGATGCAAACTGCCTTGTGACAAGAACAGTGTAAACTGATTCTCATTCTCATGATTCTTTTTCATGGGAACTGAACAGTCTAGCTTTAATTCAGCTGAAACAGCAAGGCTAATTTTATAAAGCTTTTATTTTATAAGGTTTTATGTGGTTACTGTGCTAAAAAGAAAGGACAGTAACACACACGGGGCTCTTTGGGGAAAAAAGGCCAATTTATT